TATCTCTCTCTCTCTCTCTCTCTCTCTCTCTCTCTCTCTCTCTCTTTCTCTCTCCGACAACAATTTTGCAATTTATGTGACAAGACCGCGATATTTTATTTAACCTTCCATCAGCCACCATCGGCAGAGATCCTTCGATATTCTTTGATGTTGCATTATCCACAGGGGATTTAATCAGCCGCAAGTAATTCGGCAAAAGCGCCGAGCAAAAGGTGTCACCGCGCACGGTGGTTTCGGCGGAAATGAAAGGTCTCGTGCACTACCGGTGTATATTGCAATTGCGCCGCTTTGTCGCGCGTTGCGTGTGTGTCGCGGACATGGGGATGAAGTGGGTATCAGCCAAGGGTAGTCGATTTAAGAGTCGTCATTAACGCCCGAAGCGAATCGCGAGTGTCGTTGACAGGCGGAAAACTCGAATCTTTAATTTTCAATCGTACGAACGACTTTATTTTAAATTTATCTATGTAAACAAAATTATGTCTAAATTAAAAGAAACGTAATTCTGCTCAAAATTATATTTTCAGAAAAAAAAAAAAACGCCCCTTTCTTCGTAAATAATAGTGAAATGTGTTCATTTATAATTTCCAAAAAGAGCTAAGTTAAACAAGTTTTTCTCATTTCTTGATACGAATTCCACATGGTAAACACGTATTAATGTATAAGCTTTAATTTTGTAAAAACATACTACATATAAAAATATGTCTTGATATGAAAAATACATTTTTGTTGATAATACAAACGAATTCTCTCCATTGTTTTAAATAGTTTTTTTAATAATTTACCTTGTTAAAGTTTTTTAAGGTTTTCTTTCTTTAAAATATCCTCTGTGCGTTGTTGGTTTGTGAAAAATATTTAAGTGTTTTTGAAGATTTCTAGTCTGCGGTAACTTAAATTCCGTTCTTTCTAGATAAACCTTTAAAAATTATATCCGAGAGATGTTAAGATATTTGATGACGACGATTTGCTGAGAAGCAGAAGCACCATTTCTTCCCTCGCGTTGCTCTTTCATTACTTTACATTTGCGTGATTACACGACCATGCGTAGAGCAAGAATGTGAATGAGGGATGTCACACGGTCACGCAAATGCGAACGGCTGGGAGAGCCGCGTAAAAAGAAAAAATGGCGGACGGCAGGGAGGAACGGGGGGGAGGGGGAGGGTAAAGAATAGGGTATCTCGCGATTGTAGTTGCCGAGAATAATGCGAAACACTAATAAATTGTTGGTCAAGTTTTTGAACGTGTAACAGCTTCGCCGACGTTGTGTTGGAGGGTGTTGCAACGGCTGGCGCCGTTGTAATGCCATAATGGCCGCTTTAAATAGTTTAATGAATATGGAAGACAAGGTGCATCGCACCGAGTGAGTTCCATTCCTGGAGTTGCCCTGGGTGGCAACGTGTAATATTCTCGCAATGCACATTTGTTCCCTTATCCCTAACGCGATATATACGAGGTGTTGTAACACACCGCCTGATTAGTAAACTAAAACGAGCAGTGTGAAATCGTAACACCGAATGTTTGAAACACCATGTCCCTTTGCGTTTCGTGAGTTATTTTGATCTATTTTTCCCCTTCGACTGACGGGACTAAAAAAGTTTCGCAGAACGGCTTAATAAATGAAACTGGATTACATCTTTAGCAGGTCGCTTTAGACGGTCTTCACTTTACTTAAATGAAATTTATTTGGAACGTTCAAACGCCATTCTTGTAAAATTAAATGTCATTTTACATTCTTAGAGCTTCTTATTGCTCCGTACGTTATTATCATAGTCATAGTTATTATTTGATTCTCCGCATGCTCGCGGAGATTCAATTTATTTGAATAGCGAAATATAAAATATAAAATAATTGCCTTATGATAATTACCCCCTGATAATTAATAGATTTAAACGTGGCGTAATTATTTCAGCCGGCCATATACCGCGAGCTGTTTTACGCTCTCGTTACATGAGGAAAGTGCTCGGCCGGAATATTAATAGTTCGCCGGTAGATAATAGCGGAAAAATGATAGTCGGCCATTAAATTTCAGTGCACTCGCGTGCGGCCGCCGCTAGCCGCTAATGATCATGACAGTTAGTTACAATAGAGACGAGAAATAAAGACCTTGCCGATCGTTCAACGTCACTCGCACTTTGCAACTAATTGACTGCCATTTAACTCGCGGTCCATTTGCATAGTATCACGACGATCAGCTGACGTCAGCTTCCGTCGAACCACATTCGTGTACTACTCGTCGTACAAATTTCCGGAAATAAAATCTACGTAATCGAAAGAAGAAAGAAAAAAAGATCGGTGTTACT